AGCATCTTTTTGCCAGTAGGTTAGTTTTGAGGGTCCTGGGGATGCGTGCTGCCCCCTAGGACCCAGCAGGCTGCAGCTCCTGCACCCTGAGCACTCAGCTCTGCAATGCACACAGTGGCCCGGGGCTTGGTGGTTCTTGGCAGGGCTCAGTGGGGCTAGAGCTCGCTAGCCAAAGATTGCAGACAGTCAGCTCCCTGCTTTAAAGTTTCAGCCCATTAACCCAATCACAACAGCTTGATGAATTAATGCTTATATAGGCACAGTTGGCAGCTTCTAATTAAATAATTATGGCTAAGCAGCTGCACGGAAGCTGTTATGCACCCTAGAAAGCCAGCTGTCAGTTTTATTGGTCCTAAGACAGAGGAAGAGTTAACACTGAGCCAAAGACGTTAGGCACAAAGCGGAAGTATATCAAATGCAACATACATGCTGTGCAATATGAAGTTGCTGCGTGTTTGTACCAGCCTGTCCATGGAGGGATAGACCCTCAGCAACCTCTCAGCAGTCCAACAAAGAAGAAAGCAATTACATGTTTAGGAGAACAGAGCCCATCCAGATCAACCTAAAGAGGGCACAGTATTAGACATACGAGTCTTTGATGAGCACAGAAATGTCACTGAGCTAGTAAGCAAATACATGTTAGGTTCTGGGTCTCATTTAGGTGGGCAAGTGATTAGAAATCTAGTGTGGTCTTTTTTGGTGGCAGGGGGGCTGATATGTTTTTAGTTATTTGACTGAAGCTTTTAAAGATGATGTTTTCAAATATTAGAAATTGGAGAACAAGGGAAATACCACAAATAGATTCGGACTCTCTCTAAGGTGATTTTTTTCCCCAAAAAGTGAGAAGATATTTGTTCTACAGAATCACAGATAATGTCAATTTTTTTTTTACAAAAGGCTAAAAAGCTAGAGTCTTATCTCTACACTAGTGGGAAATTCACCAGAAGAAAGAAAGCAGTATCTGATGGCTGATCTCCAGTACAGAGAAAGATCGAGATTATAGATAAAGGCCATAGATAGGGTTATTGGACCAAATCATACTTGTTACTACACATCTATATGCTTCTGAGCTGATAGCTGATTTTATTTTTCTCCACAGGCTGTCCTTTCTACATAATCCACGTGTCTTCGCTTCTGAAAACCCAAATTGTGAACGACTCAAGCTTCTTACTGGCCAATTCACCCAGATTCCCAGCACCATCTCCAAAGGAATAAACACAACTGCAGGCAAAAATCAGTCCAAGAAATTCATTTGTTCCTTTATGTTTAAAGAAACTTAGATGTTTTAACCTCCTAAGTGTATGGGTTTGCTTTAAAATAAGAATAGAGGAAACTGATTGTGAACACTGGAAACATATTTCTTATATAATTCACTTCCCAACTCCCAGGCCTGTTGAATATCAGCAGTTAAATCAAGCACTAAACTTTACAGACTGATTTATTATTCTCCCTTCAGAGGTCAATGGCTTATAGTTTATTTAGAAGAATGCCATTTCAAGAAAACGGGCAATCCATACCATAAGTTGTCATTTAAGCAAGTGAACTGACCTCTAAGAAATTCTTACTTAAAAAGCTTTAGTACAATACGTTCCTTTTTTCCCTCTGGTTTCCTTCTATGTCAGTAATTCTATCACCTCAGCTGTCTAGATGTTTGCATGTGATTGACAATTTTAAGAATCTCGCTCCTTTTAGATGGATCTTAAACAAAGTTTAGCTTAATTAAGTCTGCAGTTCAACTCAGGTCTCAGTATGAAATGCTAAAGAATCAAGTAGCAGATTTGTAAGGCCTATAAAAGCAAATTTTAGACTTGGGTTGAGGGGGTAGAGAAAGGGGGTCTTTTATCAGTCTATACTGCCATCTAGCCAAGATCACGTCATTCAGTACTACATCCATTTGTGTTTTCAAAGCCCCTGATGAAAGCAAGTCTTCAGCAACCAGCTCAATAGACCCTAAAATTCAGATAAAAGAATAGCAGCACTTCATCTACTCTGAGTCTACCAACCTCCGTGGCCCAACAGCCAAGTTCTAATCATTGCCCAATCTAACAATTCAGTATCTGGCAAATAGTCATACATATCTGTTTGCATTCCACATATTACCTATACCAATATCATTTGCATCATGTGATTTTTGAAGCCTTTGAATATTCTGTGATTTTTATTGGAAAAACTGATAGAAGTTGCCTTAGGTAAGACATGAGAGCTGAATTATAACCTCTAATACTCTATACCTCAAGAGTTTTTTTTTTTTTTTTAATACCCAAATAGAATTTCTTAGGCACTGACTGAAAGTGCAGACCATATACATCTGTAAAGAGAATCAATACACACGAAAAATAAAAAGAATTCTCTGCACTTACGGTAGAAGACGTATTCAGTGTAGCTTGACCAGATCTTGTCATCTGTATATTGGTTGACGAAAGAAGCTGTCACCGAGGAGTTACAGGCCACCATGTGGAATCCACACTCCGACAACATATCAAAAGCCCTTTCCAGATGCTTGAATTTGAGATAAAATCTGGAGGTGTATCTTTCTGGGGCTCGGTCAGGGTCTCTGCTCTCATTCAAAGTTTCTCCAAAGACCTCCTTTGCCAAGGAAATTCTTCCACAAACCAAAATCCGAGGAACTCTTCGAAACTTAGCATCTGCCTGCCCCTCTCTGCCCATGGTACAGGACCCCCTGTAACCCACGGTAATAAAACCCCACTTGCGGTCCACGGGGAGCAGTGAGGAAGGGGGGCAGATTCTCGTGTCGCTTCCTTGGGAGGCATCTTCAAAGTCACTATGGCAGAAATCGTCCGGGCTTTGCTTGATTTCATCAGGAGTCAGGAGTTTGACCAAGTCTGGGAGCTGGAAGTACTCAGCTTCCCTTTTCAGTCTTCCTCTTTCTGGGAAGTGATCAGGCAGGACCACCTGCCTGTCCCTGAGATAGTCCAGAATATAACGGAACAAGAATCCATCTCTGTCAATGAAAAACCTTCCCTTGGAGTCCTTGGCTAGATCGTTAGCAGTGTCTCTCTTTGGGGAAAACATTTTCCACAGGAGGGAATGAGGGATGCTTATTAATGTGGAATGGCGAGTAAAATAAACTTGACCCCCAACATTCAGCTCCACGACCTCAGGGAAGGAGTTGGGAACTGCGGCCCCTTGTTCTCGAGGATAATAACGACTGCAGTTCCCACTCAGAGCCATTGTCCCTTTCTTCTCCTCCTATTTTGATTTGAAAGTGCAATCCAATGGAGTCACAGCCTTGTCCTTTGCATCAACTTGTAAGGGAGGGAGAAGGATGCTACCTCGTTTAAAAAGACCTCCTCTTACCCCAGTTTGTTTTTTTTTTTTTGCCCCCTCTCAAGAAAGCAAAATTTAGAAGCGTCCACAGGTGAAGTAGTTTAAACCTTGGCTGGTGGTGAGCTATTACTTCATGGAATATAATCAACTCATCTCCATTCGATCTTCCCCCAGGCTCAGTAGATAAGGCAGGCCAAGTCGTCAGTTACTCAGAGGTCTATCTGAAGGAAAAGAAAGAAAATTATTTCCTCAAACCCAGCATGAGACAGAAAAAGAGAGAGCGCTGGAGAGAGGAGAGGGCGGGAGAGGGAAGGAGGGAAGAAGGAGTGAGGGTGGGAGGGAAGGAGGGAGAGATTATTTTACATAAGCAGCCCTGGAATTACTGATTTCAGCCATTCTTCAACTAAACCGTAGCTTCTCTCATGCTATTTTGTGTCTACATGCTTATCCATATGCCTCTGTCTCCAGCGATTAGTATTAAAAACATTTCTATTTGTATTTCTGCATTTAAAAGGAATATGCAATTTTCAACTTCCAAAAGGCGATTTTTTTTTCAGCTGGACAGGAAAATCAATAAGCCTCAGAACTTACCTTAGTGGGTGCTGGACACCCAGTCTTGTGAAGAAATACCCATTTGCAAAGCAGTCAGAATCCACAGCCACACTAACCTCAAGCTTGTCAAATCCCATAGAGGTAAAGGGCAGAGGTATCAATGAAAAGTGCCAGAGAGATGTGCTCTTAGAAAATAATAGTTATATGTATATATTTATATAAATGTATATTCGTATGAATGTATGTATGTATTCACTGCCAATCTCAAGTTAAAACAAGTCACAAAAAGTTAAACCATGATGCGAGGTGACTGGGTTGAAGAAGCAAAGCAGAGAAAAATATTCAACCAGAGCGTCGCCAGGAAAAAAAAAAAAAAAAAAATCAAACCTTTAGTAAGAATCCTTAAAACAGAAGAGAGTTGCAAGAGGTACCGGGACTTAGAAGCTTTTCAGAAAGCCCAGAAGCAGAAAGAAAGACGGAGGTGCTGTGCTGGGGTCCCAGGTAGCCACCCCACCTGCCGGCAAGGGCGAACGGGCTCCCATGTTCCCAGCCAGGTGGGAGCCGGTGCGAGCCGGCGCCGCCGCAGCGCAGAGATGCCGGCGGGGGCTCGGCTCGGGCTTCGGCGGGCGGCGGAGCTGGGTGGTTCCACAGTTCCCAGTGCAGTTGGGCTGCTGTTGTTTCAGCAGTGCAGGCGAGAAACCATCCAGGGAAATGACTATTACATCATCTTAAAGGAATATGGCTTGGAGAAAGCGGAGGCAGCTCCAGTCACGTCCTCCTCAGTGACAGGTCGCCAGGACTGCACGGGGACGCCGAGCGCGGGCCATGGGCACGCGACTCGGGGCGCTCAGGGCTTGGGGCGGGGACGCAGCACCGCGCAGCCGCTCCCCTGCCCGCCCTGTCCCGAGGTCTGGAGTTTCCCAGGGCTTTGCTTTGCCCTTTCCTCTGGCCTTTAGACCTCCATTGCCACCCCCACCCCCCAGAAATTAGCCCCCAACCTAGTGGTGAGATAAACACAAGTGATTTTTCACTTGAAAAATCTATGAACAAACCCTTTGCACAAATTTCTGCTGAAGGGCAAATTTCCCCTCTAAAGCTTGTTAACACACACACACACACACACACACACACACACACACGAATGGCCTCAACTTTCAAGCTTCAAAGCAGTTCTTTTTTTATTAAAGGGGATTAAATCATGTTCTCTCAAATGCCCTCCTCTTTTTTCCTTCTCTCTCCATCTTCCTGCCCCTCCAATAAATAAATGATAAATGAATGAATGAATGGCGCTCTTTCCAAAGAATACATGAAGCACTAGTACCCACAGAAAGCCCACAGTTTACACCAGTAAGTCATTATCTTCAATATCTCAGCTTACCTGTAAGAAATTGGAACCTGCAACCTTTTTCTGGGGCTGTTTCCTGACTGAGCATCTCTTTGGGTGTGCCCCAACCCCTCCTCACTCATCCCAAGAGGACTCTGCTGGAAGACACGCCTGCTAAGAGACATTTTACTCTTGTCCCAGAGGAGGCCCTTAAGTGCATCATTAGAGTTTCAGGAAGGCATTTCCAGGGCAACCTAATCCACTAACAAAGTGCTTCCAGTTGATCCCGCCAGTCAATAATGGCTCAGCCAACAGTTTACAGTAAGTCAGCCATTTCCCCTTTAAAACACCAGTGTCTTAGGACTCACATTCCTAATAAGCATATAGTAATTCATCTATAAATAATACATGTGAATAACACTCCATCTCAAACAACTGCTATTGAAAATATATACATGAAAACCCAAAATGGAAAGTATGAATTAGATACATTTTATGGGATACATTTGTTTATGGCCAACTTTCACCCCAAGAATTAGTTTGAAGATAGACTCAGCAGTTGGGTAAATTAATTTCTAGTTTAATAATCTTTCCTTTCAATAACTATCAGGTTACCAAACACAGAGTATTATCTAACACTCCAACACCTAATTATATTTGACTTTGTTTCTTTAACTAATGTTTTAACCTGTTCTGGCCTCAATCATTGAAATCTTAACGCTGGACCAATTAAGGAAATGTTTATTATTTGATGCACTTATGTCGCCATCTACTGTCCCTAAGCTATTAGTGCAGCTCTGTATTTGGCAACTTGAGCCAAAAGTTCTATTTTTTTTTTTATCTTGAAGTTTTCATAGTGGCTTGAGTATTACTAGAAGCGCACTGTTCACCAATTTGACAAGATAAACATTTAGTTGCCACTAAGTCAAGAAAACAATAAGTCTGAATCTGGGTTTGGTTGTAGTTAAAAGTAATCAAATGTTTTATTTCTAAAAGAGTAGGTCAGTGCACCATGACAATAACTTTGGAGATTGGATATTAAAATACTCTGTGGAAAGTTTGGCAGCAAGAGAAGAATGGGAGTAAGAAGATCCATAGCCTTTTAAAGCTAACAGGAACTTGGGAAATGAAAATCACCATCCTATCTTAGAGAAACAGATCACACAGCCATGGAGTAGCAGGGTGAGGTTTAGACTACTGCCTATTCAGTGTGATCGATCTCCTGTTTTTAACCTTATATATTCTAGAGTTAGGAATAGAGAGGAAGCAATTTTTAAAAAAGAAGAATTTCAAGATCACTACACATTTGGAAAAAAAAATAAAACAGCAAGTCATTTAAGACAGTTTTGAATATTAAGTTAAATTGTGAGGCTAAAGAATTTTACAATTTAAAAAAAGGATTCTGAATTTCAAAAATTAGGAGCTCTGTTCATTGATTTGGGTTTCACAGGTTAGGCTATTTTTGAGACAAGTAGTTTCTAACCTTTTTTGGATGGTGGACTGCTTATAGAATCTTATGAAATCTCAAAAATGAACATATAAGCATAAAAGCTTCCATTCTGTGTCAGGGGCAAAGCCTCTTAGGAAGAGCTAAGAAAAAAGAAGAACCAGGGGATCACGTGGCTAGGTACTCACATTACCAAAAATCTGTAAATCTGGCCTGTGAACCTTCTTTTTGAAATGAGATTACACATACACTCACAGAGATACGCTCTGACAATTGAAAAAATACAACATTCATCAGACAGCCTTAACCTTGACCACACGACCTGAAATATACTCAGAATTCACATTTTTTAATAAACATCGAAAATATCCTATTCTTCGTACAATCATATCGCTTTATATTCTTTTGTGTTAAAATGCTAACTTATTAAATTGTTTAAAAAAAAATGTTTTGCTGGCCCCCTTTAGGCATACTTATATTTTAATCTACCTGAAGACTCAAGAAATTGAGAAGATCTGGCCCTCTCTCTCACCTTTTTGAGAGATCAGACAAATGGTTCAAGATCGGTTAACATCCTCTGCTCTGTACCCTTCCTTTCTTGTTCCTTTAGTCTTGGGGATGTAAACTAATGAGAAGTGAGATTAAAGAGATAATAGGCTTGAAGGAAACAAAGCAATACACTACATAGAGAGATTTAAATAGTGCTAGAGTAAGCGAGTGTGTCTCAGGAAAGCTGTCAGTAAGCCCGGCTGTCCGGTGCCTTAACAAGAGGCAAGAGGCCAAGTCTAGGCTATGAGTGTATTTCTGTCCCGCGTGTCAGCAGATAACACTACCAATGTTCTCTCTTCCGGCAACCCTCCGCTAAAACATTACAGGATGCCACACTCGCTCGAAGGCTGAACCCACAGCTACAGATTTCTCTTTAGGACAGAGCAAGGAAGAATGTTCTATCCTGTTCTTTGTAATAGTCAAGCCTATATAGCACATCAAGATTCACCGCGGGTAAATCGTGGAGTTGATAAAATGTGTCTTAGCCTCTGTTTCTTGTTCTCCACTGTCACACACCCCCGGAGCTGAATGTTGAAGAGTACATTCTCAAAAGGACAATTTTAATTTGAAACAATGTGTTCACTTCCCACATTCTCACCTCCAACCCATCCTTAAGTTTCCTCTCCCCTCAAGCACAAATAGCTTTTACGCTGCTGTATTGGTTATCAGGAAGGGAGAGAATTGATCTTGTAAACTTACTCATAATAAGATGCTGTGCACTCACTGTGCTACGGGCCCCAAAGACTCCTGCATTATCATCATAGCTCCTGTTAATGGAGGGCCAGCCATCAAGCACTCACAGCAGTCATTACCCCTCTTCCAGCTCTGCTTGACTGGCTGTGTGACACTGGACAGAAGACTTGATGTCTCTGAGCCAGGGTAAAATGGAGAGAATAAGACCTGCCTCCCAGGTATGGTGTGCAGATTCAATACTATGATGCATGTAAGACCCCTAATACATTCCTTGGCTCTAGGCAAGTGCTATATGAATACCAGTAGTATTTGTGAGAGTGGTAGAAGCTGCTGTATTTGTTGGTATTGGACTCAAGTGGAAGCATAAAGAAGTTAAAAAGATGCCTGAAGATTGAAATTCAGTTTTACTTGTAAAATCTTTGCTCTTCCCATTATGCAGCTTCAGATAAAGATCATTGCTTGCCATAGATGTATTTGTTAATGATGGGGGGAATTTCAGGGTTTAGTGGGAGAAGTGGGGTGGCAGAATGAGGAAACGAGAATAATCAGTTCCACAATGGTTAAAAATGAAAATGCCACTATCTTCTGCTAAACAAGGTTATGTTCCCTTTCTTTCATTCCACATGGATTTATGGAGTACCTATGTTTGTCCAGCA